GGGGGGGCGGCCGGTGGCTTTTTTGCCTAGGGCGGCAAAAAAGCCAGAGCCGGCCCTGGCAGTAACACAACTTTCGAGGGGTGCTATGAGCTGATGCACTCGTATTTCTGGAGATTGGTGGTTTCATCATAATGCCTAGTACAGATTTGATCATGTCAACAAATTCTGTCAAAATTGCTTGCTAGTCACAGATGTAAGAGTCTAGGTACTGATGTTTTCTTTAAATATTTATCAAGTCCTTTATTTATCAATGTACAGTGCTCACTTTATTTACAAATATTTGCACTGTAAAAAAACAAAAGAAATTGTATTTTTCAGTTCACCTAATACAAGTACTATAGTGCAATCTCTTTATCATGAAAGTTGAACTTACAAATGTAGAATTGTACAAAAAAAAACTGCATTCAAAAATAAAACAATGTAAAACTTTAGAGCCTACAAGTCCACTAAGTCCTATTTCTTGTTCAGCCAGTCGCTCAGACAAACAAGTTTGTTTACATTTGCAGGAGATAATGCTGCCTGCTTCTTCTTCACAATGTCACCTGAAAGTGCGAACAGGTGTTCGCATGGCACTGTTGTAGCCGGCATTGCAAGATATTTACGTGCCAGATATGCTAAACATTCATAGGCCCCTTCATGCTTCGGCCACCATTCCAGAGGACATGCTTCCATGCTGATGATGCTTGTTAAAAAAATAATGCGTTAATTAAATTTGTGACTGGGAGAGTGTCATAAATATAAAGGGAAGGGTAACAACCTTTATGTATGCAGTAACATAAAATCCCTCCTGGCCAGAGGTACAGTCAGAGGTACAGAATCATTTTACCTGTAAGGGGTTAATCAGTTCAATTAACCTAGTTGGCACCTGACCAGAAGGACCAATGGGAAAAGAAGATACTTTCAAATCTGGGGTGGGGAGGTTTTGTTTGTGCTCTCTTTGTTTGTTCCCTCTGGATAGATAGAGAGAGAGAGACCAAGCAGGTAACCCATCTCTTGAAAAGATACCTTGAAATGATACATCTAAAATTACAGAAATTGTAAGTAAAGGCAAGGAAATGTGTTCGATTATCTTTTGTTTTAGCCTGTGAATTTTCCCTATGCTAAGAAGGAGGTTTATTCCTGTTTTTGTAACTTTGAAGTTGAGCCTAGAGGGGAATCCTCTGTGTTTTTAAATCTTTTTATCACCCTGTAAAATTACCTTCCATCCTGATTTTACAGAGGTGCTTCTTTTACTTTTTTCTTTATAATAAAGGTCTTCTTTTAAGAATCTGATTGATTTTTAGTGTCCTAAAAACCAAAGGGTTTGTTCTGTGCTCACTTTGTTAACCTATTGGTTAGTATATTATTCTCAAGCCTCCCCGGGAAAGGGGGTGAAGGGGCTTGGGGGGGATATTTTGGGGAAATAGGAACTCCAAGTGGTCCTTTTTCTAAATCACTTGGTGGTGGCAGCAATACAGTCCAAGGACAAGGAAAGGATTTGTGCCTTGGGGAAGTTTTTAACCTAAGCTGGTAGAAATAAGCTTAGGGGGTCTTTCATGCGGGTCCCCACATCTGTAACCCAGAGTTCAGAGTGGGGAGGGAACCCTGACAGAGAGATTTGTATATTTCTGGCTCTATTATACACGCATTCTGCCATATATTTCATGTTATAGCAATCTCGGATTCTGACTCAGCACATGTTCATTTTAAGAACACTTGGCTGAACAAGAAGTAGGACTGAGTGGAGTTGCAGGCTCTAAAGTTTTGCATGGTTTTGTTTTTGAGTGCAGTTATGTAACAAAAAAAATCTACATTTGTATGTTGCAGTTTCACAATAAAGAGATTGCACTACAGTACTCGTATGAGGTGAATTGAAAAATACTGTTTCTTTTGTTTATCATTTTTACAGTGCAAATATTTGTAATAAAAAATAATAATATAAAGTGAGCACTGTATATTTTGTATTCTGTGTTGTAATTGAAATCAATATATTTGAAAATGTAGAAAAACATCCAAAAATATTTAATAAATTTAAATTGGTATTCTATTGTTTAATATTGTGATTAAAACTGCGATTAATCATGATTAATTTTTCAATTGCGATTAATTTTTTTGAGTTAATCGCGTGAGTTAACTTCGATTAATCGACAGCCCTAATACAAATAAATGAAACCAGGGAAACTGTCAGAAGAAAAATAAGATATCCAGAAAGAAAAGCAGCACCTAGTTTGAAAAATATTCAAAGAATGTGTATGTTGGAAGTAATGTTTGTGAACATTTGATGAAAGAAAAAAATCACAACAGGATGCGTGTGTTAAGAGGGAAAGGTGTCACTTCTTAAAAACTGGGGCAATTGAGACATTGTGGTTAGTAAATTTTTATATACGGATGGATTTAGAACAAACGAAAGGAAATACTTTTTCACTTCTGTTTGAGGTCATTGAATCAACTACCGTGGCTGGTTGTATTTTAAGGGCTGCATAATTTAACAACCAATGGGGTGGGGAATAGCTCAGTGGTTTGAGCATTGGCCTGCTAAACCCAGGGTAGTGAGTTCAATCCTTGAGGGGGCCATTTAGGGATCTGGGGCCAAAAAAAAAAACAAAAAGAATCTGTCAGGGACAGTACTTGGTCCTGCTGTGAAGGCAGGGGACTGGACTCAACTCCATGACCTTTCAAGGTCCCTTCCAGTTCTATAAGATAGGGTATATCTCCATATATTACTCTGTTATGGGTAATGCTTCAAGACCTCTGCTGGATCAAGAGCAGGTATTTTTCCCCAGTACCATATTGCACAGTTGTCTAGGTACATTATATCAGCAGGGCTTAAAGTCAGGGAGGTCCCAGACCTGGCAAAAAATAAAAATTAAGCTGGGTCACTGAGAGCACACTTTAAGCACTCTTACCAAAGCTGGTGCTCCCAGATTATGAAACACCCCTCACTTTTTTTCAGACAATGTTAAACACTGGTTTTCAGTTTTTTCACCAATATTAGCCACTGCTTGGATCCTAGGATCCTGCTCCCATTGAAGTCAGTGGCAAGACTTCCATTGACTGCAATAGGAGCTGGATAACATCGTATATTAGAAAGTTCGGAGGAGGTGATGGAATGATCTGCCAGGAACAGTGCTGCAGGGAAGTTTATTGCACCCCTCCCTTGTCCACCAGCACATTAACAGGATAATAAGCACTGGGTTTTTTTATTTACAGTAAAAGGCCAAATGTATCCCCTGTGCAACTCCACTGATCTAAATCAATAATTACATGGGGATGTATTCATCCCTGGATGTTTATTCATATAAATCTCTCACTTATAATCATACAGCAGGAAGCTAGTGACAAAAATTGTTGTTTGCCAATTGTTGCCTGGCTTTGCGGTTTAAAATCTAGGTGAAACCAAACCAAAGACTTACAGTGTCAGAGGATCAGGGAATGAGTCAGTTTCTCTGTTTACATTTATAAAAGCTCATAGTCAATTCAGAAGGAAGTCTGTTTCCTTAACCCAAACATCAGACTAAACAAAAGCTAATTTTTGTACATTTAGAGGTAGCAAGTGCAGTGTTTTAAACTTGTTGAGTAAGATTAAATCCTGTTGTGGGTAGAGGTGGGGCACGGATAACAATGCAACTATCTGGTTGTCATGCGAGATTACAAATCACATGGTAAAGTTTTATGCTCAGACTTCCCAGAATGATGGAGAGTGTTACAGACCTGTCTGAGTCACCCTCATGGATCACAAGTCTGTTCTAATTGGACTCAACCTTTGTGCTTCCAAGCCAGCTGGGACTGGGCAGCATCAAATCAGTTTCTAGATCAGGGCCTGTAAGGGTATGTCTACACAGCCCTGGTATACACTGGGTGGGGGATCGATCTAAGTTACGCTACTTCAGCTATGTGAATATCGTAGCTGAAGTCGACGTACTTAGATCGACTTACCGTGGTGTCTTCACTGTGGTGAGTCGACTGCTGCCGCTCCCCCATCGATTCCGCCTGCGCCTCTCACAGCGCTGGAGTACAGGAGTCAACGGGAGAGTGCTCGGGGGTCAATTTATCGCGTCTAGACTAGACACGATAAATCAATTCCCGCTGGATCGATCGCTGCCCGCCGATCCGGCGGGTAGTGTAGACATACCCACAGCAAAGTAAAACCCGTGGCTGGCCCAGGCCAGCTGATTCCAGCTCATGGGGCTGTTT